CCGTCTCCTGACATTGAGGTCAGCTGTGCCAACTTCACAGATCATATCATCTCTGCCAGTACTGAGGTATTATCACAAACTAAGGCAATTATTACCCCAAAGTATAATAAGCCTTGGTGGACACCAAGCTGTGCCCAGGCTGTTAAAGCTAAGAGGGCTGCTAAGAGAATATTGATCTCACAGCCTTCCCCAAACAACCTAATAGCCTTCAGGAGATGTGAAGCCAAGGTTAAATGGGAGGTTAAAAGAGCCAAGCAGAACTCATGGAGGAGTTACTGCAGCAAAATCACATCCAGCACCCCCATATCTCAACTGTGGAAGAAAGTCAAGTCCCTCCGCACTCCATGTGTCCGTAAGTCGCAACCTCTCATATTGCATGACTCTATTGTGACAGACTCACTTGGCAAAGCTCAAGCTCTCTCCCTCCACTATGAAAAAACTTTCATGCGTCCAGCTCCCTCTCCCTATCCACCAAATGTTGCCCTTTCCTTGGCCATTGCACTGAGTGATGACTTGAACATCCCTTTGAATGAACCTTTTTCCCCTTATGANAATGAATCTTTTTCCCTTTATGAGCTGGAGTCTTCCCTTAAATCTTTGAAACACACTTCCCCAGGAATAGACCTCATCCATAACTCTCATCTCTCTCACTTACCTGGGATGCATGCCGGAGGCCAGCATAGCCCAGGACCCGCATATCTTTCATCCTCCTTTCCGTGCGTAAGCCTGCTAAAGGGCAGAGTAGACTTCGGGATTATATGTTAAAAGCCAATAGTACAAATCCCCTTCATGGAAATTAACCAGAATATCCTAATGCCCCCTACATTTTAATATCAATACCAATAAACTAAAGCATCCTACATCTCACGATGTCTACCCTTAAAAACATACAAGCCAATACAATCCCATTGTCCTTAGATGGCTCTGTCCTGGAGTTTGTTAAACAGTACAGATACTTAGGTGTGGTTCTTGATGCACCACGGCTAAGATGGGAACCACACATAAATGCCCTTAAATTAAATTGTATCCCAATTGTAAACCTACTACAGTCCATCTCGGGCAGACAGTGGGGTGCAGACCGTATATTGTTGATAAAGCTGTACAAAACTCTGATAAGAAGTTGACTGGACTATGGAGCGGCCTTCTATGGATCTGCAGCACCTACAAATCTTTCAAGATTAAATGTGATCCAAAACAACTGTTTGCGCATAGCTCTTGGCTGCCGTAAAACAACCCCGGTCTCTACTATGGAGGTGGAGGCTATCATTCCCCCTCTGTCTGTCCACCGCAAAGTACTAATGTGCAAGTACATACTACCTCCGCCTCATACAGTTGCCCCAGTGTCCTGTCGTGTCAGATCTGTTCTATGCAAATGTACCCCCTATCCATGGTTGAATTAATACAAGGTTGACCCACGCGCAGCTGCTCTTTGCGGATGTCGTTTGTTGTTCCGGCTGTGACGTCACCGTGGGCCCAAAATGTAAATACTGTCGCGAAAGACGTTGTTTTTGTGCCGATTTTGAGATCAATTTAAAAAAAATTGCCCTCCTCAAAATCGTTATAAAAATGCCAGTAGCTTCAGCTAGTCTGTCTCTAAGTATATAGGGCCTATTGAGCAATTCTATCGTGTAATACAAATAAATTCGAAACAAACAAACAGGGCCGACTTCGACTTGCTGAGAAGCCGTAATCGGCAAGGAGTTTCTGTCCGATCATTCAGAAGATGACCATAAAAAATGAAGCTCTCCTCAACGAATCCCGCTTATATCAAGTGAGTTGATGTCTAATTATCTCTCATTAATTATGTCAGTTTTAATCTGATTCTTCTCAATTTATTTACGATGTTGTACATGTTTCAGCGAGACTGTGAGTAGAATCAGATCCTTGTATTTGATGTGACACTGGCACCTAGGCTACCAAGGCAGCAGGTAAGGTAAGGCTAATGGCATGCCTATAGATTAAATCAAAATACTGTTTTGTGTTTATGTTAGGCAAGGTGAAATTTGGCAGGGGAACCCAGGGGCCCAGGGCAGGGGCAAGGGGTAATATAGGTACAAACATGTGCTATGTGCACATATGAATCATATGTGAATGTGGATAGCCACCAAAGTTTTTGTTTTATTTTTTTATTTTAATTTTATTTTATTATTATTTTATTTAATTTTGTTTATTTATTTACTTATTTTTTTCATTACTCTACTTAACTTTTCATAACATTAATCTACATTCATAACTTCAGCATTCCCTGTAATTTGTTTTTTTTTTTCCGTTAAATAAACTTAACAGTAATTTCATTAATTTTACCTATTTTATCCTTATTATTTGTCAGTTAAATATTTTTCTTTTTTTTTTCTTTTTTTCGTGTGTGTGTGTTCTCTCTCTGTTCCAGATTTTCACTTTCAGAGGTGTTAGACTGTTAGGTACCAATTAAACCCAGTTTAGGCAAGGGGCTATATGGACTAGTCTCCAGTGCTCCTATAAGAATAACTAAAAAAAAAAGGCAGATGTAAACAAACAAGATCAGCTGCACCGTGGCAGCAGGCTGCATGTGACGCTACCGACGCTCGCGGCTCGCCTTCGACGTTAACCGCCTTACCGCACGTACTAATGCAGTTCGCCTGTAGACTTGATTGAAAACTTTAAAAAAAGTTTGTATCACCTAACTGAAGCGTCAGCTGTCGCTTCCTCCGTCTGTTTTACTGTGCTAAGTGTGCTTTAATCAGGAGTCGACCAAGTCTAGCCTCTAAGGCTCTAGATAGACTAATAATATAGAGTACTATCAGTACTATGGATGTGTGATCATGTGTCCTCTTATTATAATGGCAACTGTGACAACTGGCAAATTACAAACAAGACATTTTTTAGAATGACTACTGGCAAACAAACTGCAAACAAGACATTTTTTAGAATCAGCTCATTTTTAATTTCCTAATTTACTCAAGAATCAAGATTTAAACCAATATCCTATATGTATGATAATGTTGCATCCATTATATTTTGCTGGTCTACTTGTAGCACTCAATATTGAACTTGAGCTTGAGGAATAGCCTAAAAAATATAACTCACTAAACTCAGTACTCACTGCAGTGAGTGACGCAGTGAGTGACGCAGTTTCTCGTTGACGAAAACTTGAGGTCACGGACAGATGGACATGGCAAGCACAATAGTGCATTTTTTCCATAAATGAGAAAATGCGCTAAAAACTCTTCATTGCCAGTTGCACTATGCTATTTGAATTAGCTACTATAAAAATCAGGCTCAGGCAGGCTGCATCTTCTGCAGTCTGCTCAATTATTGAGATTAGATTTACTAGGGTAAACGTGGTATATTCTGACATCGTGGGTAATTCCGACACTTCTCAACTTTTTCCTTTATGTTAAGCTTTGTCTTAGTTCTGCAACTTCCGCTCATTTGTTGATGGTTGAAATAGTGACGTCTTACTATTAGTATTGGGCACCATACTATTGCCAAAACACTAGGTCTGGGCTGTCTGGCGGGAAAATGTTAAGATCCAAAGAGAGACAGTGCACGTCACTCAGTGAGAACATCAAAAAATGTGTCAAAGTTGATAGTAGACCTTGCTCTACCAAATAGTGATAAACTGTTTGTGTAGAAAGAATATTATGGTTTGTGACTTTTAAAGTCTATGAATATATTATGAATCCTTTAAGTATACTTGTATTTGCTGATTTCAAGTGGTAAATAAATTAATAGATGACTAAGTTAAGAGATGGTTTTAGACACATAAAAACTAATTCTGACACAGCTTGGAAATAGACACACACAGCTTGTTCCAAGCTGTGTGCAAAAATTAAAATTTTCTTAATTAAAAGCCTAATAGCTCTTAATTAAAAGCCTAATTAAGTAGTGTTCAATATTCAATAGTGTTCTAATTCCGAGCTGTCTTGTATTCCAATACAGTTCACACAGCAATCGGAATTTGAACACAAGAGTGTTGGAATTACGAATTAGTAGAGTTTGAAGCGCGGCTGGAATTAGTCTTACAAAATGGCAAATTTAGTCACACACAGCATCGGAATATATGGATTTGGTAGGTTTGCATTCTAAAGGCTTTTTAATAAATATGGCAACAGTTTGTGACGTTTCATTGTTGCTGGCGCATAGTGCAACTGCGGTGTTTTGAGAGTGACGTAAAGCAAACAGAACTCGAGTTGCGCATACGGTGATTTTTTTAAAGCCATTCATTTTTTGCTACGTCCTCAATATGTCGGAATATACCGCGTTTACCCTAGATATGTTTGCTTAACCCTTTCACGGGTAAGTTACCATATATGATCACTTGAAATAGTGTCACAAAAGGCCTCACCACAGCTTCCTGTTTGTTTTTGAGGCATCCTTATAATGCCTCAGTCAATCCCTAATTATCTGACCATCGTGCTATCTATAGCATCACCAGCTGCAAAGTCCACAAATTGAAATATGAGCATTCAAATGAAGGTTTTGATTCGGACAATGGAATTGACGCTCTTTCCGCATTTTTTTCAAAAGGTGGAAGTATCAATATATAGGTATATTTATTTATTTTGGCAACTTGATTAAATTTAATTAAATTAAATTTTTATGTTTCTAATTTTTCATTTGCATAAACTGAATTTTAATTATAAAGAAAAATTTTGTGTACTGATCGCATTTATTGAATTCTTCAAGTGCGATTTAAACCTTCAATAGGCAAAATTTGCAAAAATTCATATAAATAAATATACTGTATAATACTTCTTACTTTCTTGAAATGGTTTCTAAAAGTTTAATTTCTGGATATTTCAATGCTTGCCCGCTAAAGGGTTAAGACTTGTTCTGGGGCTTGCTTGAGCCTGACCACATCACTCATGATCACTGATGGTTTACAGCTACAGGTTTCCTTTCCTCTGCAGCTCTGCCCAGTGCTGATGTTAGCTTGTTAGGAAAAATTTTTCTGATTATAAAGCAATATACTGTGATTAGTTACTAGTTAAATTATTATTTGAATTTTTTTATTTCAGACACTTTGTGATTTTCAATCTCAAATATAAATGATGTGTTGCTCAACAGTTTGATACAAGTTTTTCTTTCTCTATTTTTTGGAGCAGTTGCAGTTGGAGCTGTGAAGTTTCCATTGACATTTGACCATCATGAAGTTTGTAAGTAGCAATATGGATAAATAGGTATTATGTTTATTCATTTATTTTCTTGCTCTATTTTCAAACATTTCATACCATGCTAACTGCTAAGTTCAGAAATTAACTGCAAAGGAAGAACTTGTTCAACTATGTTGTTAGAATTTTATTTATCAAGAAATTAGTCAATTTTATTTTTTGTGCAGTACGTATTATATTACATTTTCAAATTTTCCTGCCATGTATGGGCAATAATACCTGTAATATTACTTTGTATAATTAGATTTCAGATTTTAATTTGTGTTAACATAAATAATGTGCTCTTTATAATTGGATGTTCCAACATAATTTAATGACAAATTAGTTTTTCTCTGCTATTTTTATTGTTCAAGGAAGGCTTTCCAGTTTGAAGCTCCATATGTACATAATCATTATGGCTTCCATTAAATTCCAAGCAACTACTGTATATAGGGTACTTGATGATTGAGAGTTAAATATTTTTACTTCACTGCATATATGTACCTTTTAAATTATCATGGTGAAAAGTCTGTTGGTGCTGCATTTGCCCATATTTGTTTATATTATTTTCATGATTATGACTCTGTTTGAAAATTAGTTTTTATAAACCTCATATTCATGGTAATGTAAGAACATGCATCACTCCACTGAACAATAAATTTGTTGATTGTTCATTTTTCCACAGTACAGTTTGTCCAGCGAAGCCAACCGGCCTTGCTCCATAGTTACCTTCCAGGACACGACCATCATGCTGGACTGCTGCCTGGACCAGAGTCCAGCACAGCATTTCCTGCCCCTGCACCTTGTGCCCAGCCAGCGTGCCAGCAACCTGGCATACTGGACACCTCGTGAAGCAGATGCCCATCTAGAAGGGGTACATAATAGTGTTCTCATTATTCTGATACTGATTATATGTGAAATTTTATAGAAAAATTTCCTTTGAGTTTTTTAAATGTTTCTTTGAATAAATCTTACCTACCAATCAATTCTGTTAACTACTCAGATAATCACACTTATGCTGTTGTTATCTTCTCAAATTTGCTGTGGGGATTCCAGTATAAATTTTTTATTTATATATCTATTTGTGTGTGCTCTTCTTCAGTTCATTTGTTGTTATTTTGTTATTTGTTAAGGAGCTGCGTGAGTGCAGCAACAGGGTGTTTGTGGACTCACCTCCTGAATTCAAAGCTCCTGCTGGCCAGTTGGTGGATTTTTCTGAGCTGGATGCCATCTTGGTGTCTAATTACCTGAGCATCCTGGCCCTGCCCTACATCACCAACGAGACTGGCTTTAGGGGCACGGTGCTCATGACAGAGCCTACCATGCAGCTTGGCAGGTATCATGGCACTGGCAACCACCAGGCATGAAGTACATGTTATTATTTAATGTCTGTTCAACATTATTTCTTGCTGTTAAGCATTATTTCTTGTGCTTCAACATTATTTCTTGCCTATTAAAGCTCAATATTGTCTACTACTGTAATTGCTTTCAGAAACAGGGTGATATTTATTAGTCATTATTATTGTTAGGAAAAAGACATTTTATATTTCTGAAGGATGCAGATATATAATCTATTGTAGTTTGATCAAAAAGCTGAGGCTACCAAGTGTTGAGATTACCCAATAATCCAATAAATTGACTCAGTTCATATCCTAAGAATACTGAATCACCTAGTTCAAGGTGAGGTTCAGCAGGCCTGTGCATCAGATGTTAGTAACACACTTACACATTTGAGGTACTGCATATATAGTTATTCAAAAAATCACTTTTTCATTGCAATTCCTTCTAGGGTAAACGGAAAAGTTGTGGTACAATGAGTATGGGTATACATATTATAGCTTTCACTAGAAATGGGTAATTTATGATTCTATGGATACTCAATTCAAGTATAAATTGTGAGTGCAATCTCATTTGAGATAGTGAAAATAATCAATAATATCTCAATGTGCAACGAGCCCTCAAAGTTTATTTGAACCCAAGGCCACACCAATCAAGTCATAGAATAATCATAATAATATTACATAATTAGCTCGGTAGGTTAGCTAATAAGTATCCTACCACAGGTTGGTGATGAAGGAGCTGGTGGAGGACATTGAGCGCTGCCCCAAGGCGCGCTGCAGCGACGGCTGGAAGCAGTGCCTGCGGCTGCTGCCTGCGCCGCTGTGCCACGTACGGCCTCATGCTTGGCGCCGCATCTACACAGCAGCAGGCATTGCTGAGGCGCTGTCTTATGTCACCATCGTCGCCTACAATGAGGCTGTGGTGAGGCTAATATCATTTATCCATATATACTATCAGTCAGCCATATTTACTTTCATTCAGCCATATTGTTCTATTATTTTTTATGTTAATGTTGGTTGCTGTTTTTGTAAGATGATATTAATGTTAGTTTGTTGTACAGAGCATATGTGGTGCGGTGCAGGCAACCGCGGTGTGCTCGGGCTTCAGCGTGGGCAGCTGCAACTGGCTGCTGCAGTCCCACCAGCACAAGGTGGGTCATGGTATTAGGTGGGTCAGAGCTGCTGCAGTCTCACCAGCACAAGGTGGGTCATGGTATTAGGTGGGTCAGAGCTGCTGCACAAGGTGGGTCATGGTATTAGGTGGGTCAGAGCTGCTGCAGTCCCAACAGCACAAGGTGGGTCATGGTGGGTCAATAAACATGATGAATTCAGTGTTGATTGTGACGCTAGATGTTTATGTTATTATGGTAAGTTGGCAATCAATAGAATATACTAAGGACTGTCAATGTTTATATATTGATTTATAGTAACGTTATGTTAGTATATATATATATATATATATATATATTGGTGTAGTTAGGCAGAAGATTTTCTCTTATGCAAGTTTGATTGAAGACCAGAGCATGCTTTACGTTGCAAACTATTAAAATGTCATTCGGAAACCTGCTTTTCGATCTCCCGACGCCAGCAAGAAATTTAGTTCGACTCATTGAAAAAACGAACAAGAAGATTGTTAATAAAAAGCATGCTCTGGTCTTCAATCAAACTTGCATATATATATATATATATATATATATGCGTTAACATACAAATACATACCATATACAAAATACATTCGTTACTTTGTACAAAACTGAATGTTTATCAAAAGTCATTGACCTGCAAGTTCTATCGCGTCGCAGGAGCGCCTTTACTTTCGAAATGCCTGCTTCTTTCATAATTAATAATTATACTGATCTACCTGAGTGGTATGAGGGGCACCTTTTATCTAAAAAGCTTATAGTAAAGTTGAAAAAAGTAAGTTTAGGAATTGAAATGAAATCAAATGTAGAAATTCAACATCAGTGTAAAAATACGACAATTCAGCGCTGTTGTTGAGTGCTGTTGTTGAGTGCTGTTGTTAAGTGCTGTTGTTGAGTGCTGTTGTTAAGTGCTGTTGTTCAGTGCTGTTGTTGAGTGCTGTTATTGAGTGCTGTTGTTCAGTGCTGTTGTTCAGTGCTGTTGTTCAGTGCTGGTGTTCAGTGCTGTTGTTCAGTGCTGTTGTTCAGTGCTGTTGTTCAGTGCTGTTGTTCAGCCATTTGCCTCTCCTACAGGTAGTGTACCTGAGTGCCTCGTCGTCCCTGACGACGCACCCTCGTCCCCTGAGCTTCTCGTCCCTGCGTCGTCCAGACGTGCTCATCGTGTCGTCCCTCATCCACCGTCCCGCGTCCAACCCCGACCTCATGATGGGCGACCTCTGCGGCTCTGCCGTCCACGCTCTACGCAACAACGGTCACTTCAACTCATGAATATTATAAGGAAAATACTTTATATTTATCTGTGTATTTATAAATATTTATCATATTTATGAGAAATCTTCAATGATGCGACTTGAATAAAGCGCTAAACATTGTGGGGATATTATGTATTATTAATGATCATGGCTCGAATGTGTTGATGTAATTATGTACTAATGTAGATGTAAAAATAAATAATGTAGATTATCACCGGCCACACAACGGTTATTAAATATGTCGTTTCTTTAAATTTTATAAAGAGTTTCAATTTATAACATTTCGTGGCTATGAAAAAACATTCCTATCGCTGCAGTGTAAAATTTGCAATGAATTTCTTTGCATCATCTTGCTATTGAATTAACAAAGTTGAATTAACAATAACTAGAAGTGTGTGGTTAGCAGAGCAATGTTTCGTTCGACTGTAGAAGGTACATACCTAATACACATCAATGGTATCATGATATGTACAAAAATGATTTAGTTTCCCCGAAGCTATTGATGTGGTAGAGGCGGAAATAATCTCACTTCTGTTGGCGCTTTTATCTCAATACTTAAACCTGAAATTAACACTAGTTACAATACTACTTATTATAAATGAATGGTATATTAACTATTATTATTAAATTATGAAATTTGATGTTCAAACTTAGCTCACTATTGAGTACAAATTTGCGATTCCACACAATTATTCAATGAAGCTTACCTCAGATGAGCCGTTTAGGGTGCCTATTAAGTCGGCAGCGCTGTTGTGTGTCTTGAATTACACGCGCCTTGCATAATATGTTACTGCCAGTGCACAATTGATTATTCACATGATGTACCGGTACTATGATTTTTCCGAATTTTTTTCATAAATTTGTTCATTTGATTGGGCTGGTATACTTGAGTGTTGTATGGTATTGCAGGCTGCGTGCTGGTGCCATGCTACACCAGCGGGCTGGTGTATGACATGCTTGAGTGTTGTATGGTATTGCCGTGTTATATGGTATTATTGTGTTTGCAGGCTGCGTGTTGGTGCCGTGCTACACCAGCGGGCTGGTGTATGACATGCTTGAGTGTTGTATGGTATTGCCGTGTTATATGGTATTATTGTGTTTGCAGGCTGTGTGTTGGTGCCGTGCTACACCAGCGGGCTGGTGTATGACATGCTTGAGTGTTGTATGGTATTGCCGTGTTATATGGTATTATTGTGTTTGCAGGCTGTGTNCATTGTAGTGTCAGCTAGCCTCCAGCATTGTAGTTTCAGCTAGCCTCTTACACCGTATTTGTGCTAGCCTCTTACGTCGTAGTTTGATATACCGTAATCATTATTTATTTGATTTATTATGTACGGTATTTGCCCGCCATTGCTAGTGTGAGGCTAAAGTTTCATCGTGCTTATCATGTGAGGTTGTCAAAACATTATATTTCTAGCCCTCATCTTACCCAAAGTTTGCTCGATGGAGACATTATCACGCTTACATCCCAATGAATTTGCTCCGTATATTTTCTTGTTAAGTTTTCACACCACGAATATTCCATGCAAATTATTATGAGTTTTCACATCATAAATTTGCTGCTTGAATGTTCACTTTTCACTTCATGAATTTGATACGTTAATTATGTAATAATTAATAAAAAATAGATAGCTACTTGAATTTGTGAGTTATTTAGTGAATTTGCTACTTGAATTATGGAATAATTTATTGAAGTACGTTAGCTACTTGAATTTGTGAGTAATTTAGTGTATTAACTACGTGAATTATGGAATAATTTATTTAGGAAGCTGATTGAATTTGTGAGTAATTTAGTAAATTTGCTACGTGAATTATGGAATAATTTATTGAAGTAGCTACGTGAATTAGTGAGTAATTTAATGTATTAACTACGTGATTTATTGAATAATTAATTCTAATTATAATGATGACGCGCGCAGGCTATCAAGCAAGAAGCAGAACAAAGTGTACCAGCAGGAGGACCCCTTCGTGCACGCACAGCTCGTGCGCTCCGGCAGAGTGAAGGCCTTCAAGAGCCTTCATGCTGATGGCTTCACTGCAGAGTTCAGGCAGNCACCGGTGGGTATCCTAGAGGTCCTGGTGCTCTTCACCGGTGGGTATCCTAGAGGTCCTGGTGCTCTTCACCGGTGGGTATCCTAGAGGTCCTGGTGCTCTTCACGGGTGGGTATCCTAGACTAGCCTCCGTTGTAAGTGCGTGCAGAACTGCAGTAGGAGCTAACTCATGATTACATGTAGGTATCCTGCGAGTCGCTCCTGTGTTAGGGAACGCGGCGGGGTAACGGGAGATCACCATTGCTGTCCATGGTTCCTAAAGTAAATTTTTATCTTATTTTGAGCTATTTTTTAACATTCTACTGTCGAGCTTATTTTGCGAGCTTGGTTACTAAAAAACTTTCTGTCCAACAGCCATCTTTTTTCTCTCGTTATTATTCAATATTTTCTTCCATTTAATAACTTTTAGCACCAGGAAGTAATATTGGTACCATGAGATGCCGATTAGATTTTTTATACGAGTTAGATAAATTTATTAAAATTCATTTGGAATTTGTACGAATGTGTTATTCAATAACTCTTCTACTTTCCAAAAGCTGTTTAATTTTCCTTGCACTTTCCTGTATACTTTGACGCTAGTAATCTAGTGTAGTAACTAAATAAACTTTTTGAAAAGTAAGATATTCTATAGACCTATTCATCAGATACCTTATTATGGTCTATATTTGCACCAATTCACGTCTTGGTCCTCACAATTGACATAGTCTCGGGCCAAATTGATCCTTGACTTCACACGCACTCAGTTGCCATGCTTATTCTAGCCAACCTTCCGGGCAAATTGCGATGAAATAACGTTAAAACGTAACAAGTCAAAGTAAATCAACGTAAATTCCACGTCAGTTACCTAGTGGGGAATGATGAGTGAAATTGACTTGCATTTTACAGAGCCTGAGTTTGACTTCATCGAGGCCCTGGCCCCCTACCAGCCCATGGCCATGAGGCCGCTCTACTGCCCCATTGACACCTGCCTCAACTACGCGCAGGTCTGCCGCGTGTTGGTGTGTGTTAGGACGTGTTTGTGTGTGTGTTTTGTTGTGAAGCTGCGTGGTTGTGTTTTGTTGTGTAGCTGCGTGTTTGTGTTTCGTTGTGTAGCTGCGTGTTTGTATTTTGTTGTGTAGCTGTGTGTTTCTCGTGTTTGGGAGTGTTTATGTGTGTTTCTGGGCGTGTTGGTGTGTGTGTTTGGGAGTGTTTATTTGTGTTTTTTATCGTGTTAGTTTGTGTGATTGGGAGTGTTTATGTTTCTGGGCGTGTTGGTGCCTGAGTTTGGGCGTGTTTATGTTGATGATTTTTGCTTATTTTTTTGCGTTTGACTTGTGTGCTTGTGGGTTGAGTTTTTTTAGCTTTGTGTTGTGTTTATGTATGTTTGTGTGTATGTGTGGGTTTATTCGTTGGGACACGTGTGTTTTACGTAAGCTCTAACATTCTGGTTGCCGTTACTGTGTGAGCACAACTTAATACTGAGGATTGTTGTGCTCTTCATTGTCCGTGTGCAGTTATTCCAACTTGCAGTTATGAATCACCCAATACATTAGAATCTTGAGCTGCAACCAGCTTTGCCTGTAGTCGTGACCTGTCACCTGTGGTCGCTTCCTCTTCAGTAGCTCGCAGTTATAACGCTTTATAGTTACACTGGAGTCCCCGCTCTATAGTTACACTGAAGTCCCCGCTCTATAGTTACACTGAAGTCCCCGTTCTATAGTTACACTGAAGTTCCCGCTCTATAGTTACACTGAAGTTCCCGCTCTATAGTCACACTGAAGGACCTGCTCTATAGTTATAATGAAGGCCCTATAGTGACACTGAAGGCCCCGTTGCAGGCGCAGAAGCTGCTGTCGGAGCTGAAGGCGACCACGGTGCTGCTGCCGGCGTCCTACACGAAGGCTCCCCCCACGGCGGCCGCGGCGGTCGCTAAGGACCTCAAACTCGAGATCGTGAGAGCTCTTATAGCAGGGCTGCCCGACTTGGGCCCATACTTTTAAAAAAAGTTAAGAGACCGTAAGTTCATCAGCCAATCATTGACGGCCTTTCAAGCAAAATCCACCAATCATAGACAAGAAAATAGATCGTAAGTACTTACGTTCTCTTAGCGAATTTTGAAAGCATGGCCCTTGGGCTCTAATTATATTCTTTTTCTGATTTTTATTTGATTATTTTTATTCTATTTTATTGTAATCTATTCTATCGATTTTATTCAATATCTAGGGTAATATCAGGTGGCAGCATTAACACTATTAACCAAAGTGATAGATGCTATCAACATTTGTGGTTCAACGCTCTTAACGTGGCCATTCACGATGAAAACGTTTGGGAGCCTCTGCTCTTGGTAGAATTTCTCCTAGTTCAGATGTGATGTCCTATTTATATTTAGTAATTAAGATGTTGATATTTTACCACATTTATTCGCTGAGGTCGCTTATATTGTTAATATTTTTTATTAGTATTGTAATCTCGTAGTGTGACAATTCCTGAGGACAGTCGTGGTACAAGTATTATTTATTCATCTCGTAAGCGTTTTAAAAAACATTCAAGGAAGTTAAATTGAATTGAAGCCACATGATTATAATCCCTGTCAGAAGAATAGCAGTGCAACGTTTGTGATTCATATAAATTAATCCTGGAGTTAGAGGAACATTCATATAATCTAATTGTGATTAGTCTTATTCGTTCTGTTTAATTGTTGCGTGATATTCAACTACTCGTGTATATAAATATTATAAAATTACCAAACCGTGTTAAAAAAACAGGCTGGCTTTAGTGGTCGACGATCTAAGCCTGGCTAATCCATTTATTGACAAGGTTTTCATGATTAAATACTAGTGATGGAAACTAACAATAATTACAATGTTGTGGAATACGTGTTCTTTTTGATTGAATAATTGCGGTCGAAGGTGCAGAAATTGGCGCTGTACTTTACTGTACTGGACCTGTTATAAGGAATTTGTTGTAACGCACCTGTTTGCTGCACAGCCTGCAGGTGCACCCCAGTCTGCTATTACCCCAGTCTGCTATTCCCTCAGTCTGTCATTCCCCTAGTCTGCTATTCCTTCAGTCTGTCATTCCCCTAGTCTGCTATTCCCTCAGTCTGTCATTCTCCCAGCCTGTCATTCCCCCAGTCTGCTATTCCCCCAGCCTGTCATTCCCCCAGCCTGTCATTCCCCCAGCCTGTCATTCCCCCAGCCTGTCATTCCCCCAGCCTGTCATTCCCCCAGCCTGTCATTCCCCCAGTATGCTATTCCCCCAGTCTGCTATTCCCTCAGTCTGTCATTCCCCTAGTCTGCTATTCCCTCAGTGTGTCATTCTCCCAGCTTGTCATTCCCCCAGTCTGCCATTCCCCCAGCCTGTCATTCCCCCAGCCTGTCATTCCCCCAGTATGCTATTCCCCCAGTCCGCTATTCCCTCATCTGTTCATCCCCCATTCATTATTTAATATCCAGAGCCTATTCTTTCAAAAAAGTTAAGAGATCGTAAGTTCATCAGCCAATCATTGACGGCCTTTCAAGCATAATCCACCAATCATAGACAAGAAAATAGAGCGTAAGTACTTACGTTCACTTAGCGAGTTTTGAAAGCATGGCCCCAGTCCCCTAAATCCCCCAGTGAGGCAGGAATTCTAGGATAGTTCATAAAGCTTGTCATGTTTGGTCGGAAAGTGATCCTGTTCATCTCCATACTGATTAAATGAAGCGTAGGTACTCTGACTTTATTTTATACTGTAATATTGAACATAGCTTGGGTGCAGGGGTTGAGAAGAATAGGAATATGGGTTGAAGCGATATGGAGTGTGCAAGACGCGGTTGTTTCGTGGCCGTGGCACCGGGTGTTGTTAATATTAAACGTTGGCGAGCCTATCGCGAAGGAAATTCCATCAGTTGAGGAATTCAGCGTCACTTCGAGGGGTAGGTTGACTATGTGCGACGTCTGAATATATGGGAACCCTAAAATTAGCTCCAAAAGGTTGTTATACTCTCGTGACCGTCACACCAGTACCAGAAATAACGGCCAGGGTCAGACCAGGGGCCAGAAATAACGGCCGCGCGGAACTCCGAGACGTTCATACCACTCCGACTCCGATATAATAACGTCAGAAATTTACGAGTAACGGTTGTAACTTCGCTTATTTGTACGTTAACGTTCATTGCTACGGTTGTGACTTAGCCGTGAGACAACGCGAGAGGCCAAGAGACATCCAACGATTATATAATAGATGCGTGGAAATGAGCTTGGTGTAACGCTATCGAGGAGGTAGCCACTATTTAGAACTACCTACAGTCGTTATAAATTCTACGGTTAGACCGGCCGTGAGACATCAATGTAAGCGCGGGGAATACGGCTATGGAGAAAGAAAGACTGTGGAAGGCGACCGCGGGCATGCGCGGCTGTGGCTGCTGTACGGCCGCTAACGTTAGCGTGAGGTACGGTCGTTTACGACAGTCGTACAACTCAACGGAACTGCAACCAATCAAAATTTCTGGTAAAAGTAGGAAAATTTAGTGATGTAAACTGATAGATTCTCATGTTTGATTGTGTTCGGATTACTCTTTTACTGTACCAGTGTTGCATTGCAACCCTCTCTCTGTAAGATTTTTGCCATAACCTATTTCATACGAGAACATACAAACGCGAATACTCTGAGTAAAGCCTAAGACGCTACGGCCGCGACCTGACTAAATTAAAGCAATAGCCGATGAATAATAAAATTGTGACAGTAAATACATAATCTACCAATCTTGTAAATTTTCCATAAGTTAAGCACGATTGGTTGTGATGGCATCCTCTGCAGACTGTGATTGGTTGTGGGATTGTGATTGTGTGTGGGATTTCCAGTCTGCCCTCGGTTCCCCGGCTCCCTCATTCCCCTAACTCCCCATCATTCCTCTAACTCCCCATCATTCCTCTAACTCCCCTCATTCCCCTAACTTCCCTTACTCCCCTCGCTCCTTCATTCCCCTAACTCCCCTCACTCCCGCAGTCCCCCGACGAGTGTGAGGCTGAGGGCCCCAGGCGCTACCCCAGCAGATACCCCCACGGGGCGCTGCCCGTCGACGACCTCATGCAGGGGCTCAGCCAGGCGGGCATGGTGGACGCCAGGCTCGAGGAGGACGCGGGGGGCTGTATCATCACTGTGGTGAGTGGGGTGTGTGGTGAGTGGGGTGTATAAACAATCAGACAATGACTGTAAACAATCAGACAGCGACTGTTTACAATCAGACGATGACTGTAAACAATCAGACGATGACTAAACAATCAGACAATGACTGTAAACAATCAGACAGCGACTGTAGACAATCAGACAGCGACTGTAGACAATCAGACAGCGACTGTAGTCAATGGTTTAATTGTACACGTCGTAGTTGCTAACAGCTGCCGTGCGTGCAGGACTCAGAGGACGTGATGCTGCAGCTGCGCGACCACGCGACGCACGTCATCACGAGCACGCGTGCTGCGCGGGATAAGATACGTGCCATCCTGCAGCGTGTCCTGCAGCACGTCTAGTGCACGTCCTGCAGCAAGTCTAGTGCACGTCCTGCAACACGTCGTCGTTCACAATAATAACAAATAATGTTATTGTTCGCTTCCCTGTAATTGTACAAATTGTTGATAGCTGCGCCTGAATTACGGCTTCGTCCTGAGATCGGACTAAAGGAGGTGATGGCGCCTATACTTGTTTTTTTTTTCAACTAAATTTGAAAACTTAGAAACTATTTCACATAGTGCGATCCACATTGTAGCCAATGCCTACTGTAATTTTTCCAAAAAAATTTTTTTCAAAAAATTATTTTCGAATAATTTTAATTATCGTCATACGGCGTTCCCACGTTGTTTTTTCCAGACTTTCTGCGTGAAGCCTGAAGGATCGTACCTTTGACTACTGCGATTTGTTACTTCAATAATCCCACTTTCATATCTCATATGAATGTAATGTGTTCATATAACTTTTATATGACCACATAGTATTTTGTCGTTCTGCTGTCAGAAATGAAGCGCCGGTTGAATGTGTCTTTGTAGTGTATTGGTGTGTACAAAACCTGAGGCTGTGCCCATATATTAAGTATTAGGTGCCTGATCTCTTCAAGTAACTCGTTAATCTGCATTGTTTATGAGCCGTTTCAACAAAATAAAATAATTAGCCGTTTTATTGAAACCTTGAGCCGTGTCAATAAAATGAAATGATATTATAAGCCGTTTTTTATTGACACCTTAGTCGGTCATGGCATATGCGGATATGCCTAGCCAGAGGCCTGGCCAAAGAGGCATCCCCTAGCAGAAAAAACTCCATTTAGTCTACCCTAAAAATAAAAAAGAAAAATGTTTGTAAATAGAAGAATAGTTCGGGGAGCCTTGCAATAAAATAATAGCCTTGAATGGCCGTATTTAATAAAATTTAATTTAATGTAAAACCACATCAACATTAATCACCGGGTAAAGAGAGATAAAATTTTCTCTGCAAATAAGTATTTTGAGGCTCGGAAATGACTAGATTGAAATGTAGGAAGTATAAAATCTCCAACGTTAAGGCCGCAAAATATGTAACAATAAATTTTATCTGTTTTCATCATTTAGCAAGGAATAAAACAAAGTGTGCCTTTTGGCGAGTAAAACCAATGAGCAACTCTCTGAAAATAATAGGAGACCTCTGGTGCAATGCAGCCAGACGTACGAATGGATTATGTGAAACAGTACGATTTCTTCTATGGTAACCAAGATCGATCATCGATGCCCTTCACAGGATACCTGCGCTGGAAGGTTTCGGTGAAAAAAATTTTTTTTTGGCCACGATAGCTTTAGGTTTTAACAGCGACGAAAAATATATTAATTTAATTTATTCATTGCATAAAGTGATAACAATAAACAATGACGTAAAATAAGGCGGTGCGTAAGTCCTTTCATAAAAGTATGATTGTATGATATAAATAATCAATTTGAAGAAAATTATTATCTCCTGATAAATGATCAACACATAACAATTCTCTTCTAATTCACTGAATGAATGGAGGTGAAATTAGGGAGCCCAAAGTTCTGTATGAGTGGGCGAGTTTCCAATTATTGTTCCCGCCTCTGTCAGTCGCGCGTGGAAAAGAGACCATCGGCTTCGGCGTAGGAGGATATTTGCGATGATGGCCAAAAGGGCTAAAAATTGCCACATCTATCAACCGGGGTTCTCTTCAGATTCAACTGTATAAATATCTTAAACATAGTTGAATTAATTAAAGAATTCATGAAAAGGAATTTGTGAGAACTTCTGTTAGGAGCAACTTGTAATACGCCCGTAATGAAATAATATATGTAGTTTTAAATAACCTCTATAAAATGAGAGTTCCTCCGATTCACTCAGTAATTCTAGGACTAATAGCCATGACATTACTACTGAAATAATGGACTACGCTCGTCCTACATTGGTTCACGCAAACGAAGCTGCGACTTCAAGCTAAATAAGAATTTAAGGCCCTGATTGAAAACCGAGAGGCTTCGAACAGGCTCGGCTCTTCCCTATGCGTTCCCTCCACACAAATTCATATCTTTATAGAAAACGTTTCGGAGACCAGCTCCATCGTCAGTTCGTAGAATCTAGAATCAGAACGTTTAGAACGTAGAACGTTTTCTATAAAGATATGAATTTGTGTGGACTTTTCTTTGCTTTTAAATTCGAAGTTAATTTGCGATTTAAGCAAACAAGTGATATAAATTCATTAATCAGCTTAAGTGCTAACCAATGAATTAGTTTATATCCTGGCATAGGACAACTTAATACTACAGTCAAATGCCTTAAAATCTCTTCCTATTGTTCTGCTGTCACCAAGAAATGATTCTGATTTCAATATTCACAGTTAATTTTACGAAATTAATCAATATATTGCTTAGTACGCGCGCAAAAGCGTAAACAAAGACAAGATCTTCTGGAACTTGAAATGGCGGATTTCGTCCGACATGCTAGCGAAATAAGTCACCATTATTTCAGAGGAAGAGGTGAACGCGATACCTATTTGCTAAAAGGAATAAAAAATTCTTTGCAGGCCTCTAGATTTTCTAGTTTTAACTCAACGTAAAAATTACACCAGCTAACGAAGGCATATAATGACATTAAATTTCGCGATGTGATACAAGAATTTTCAGGATGATATCTCCGGTGAGCTCAATAGCTGCGAGTGTAGTAATCATCTCCCTCGTACCATGAATTTTTTTTTCATCCCAAGTAACTCATTTAACGGCTTTTATAATAAAAAGTAAACAAAATTGGTAAATAAATAAAAGTGTGAATTAATTCAGACGAATATAATTTTCTCTAATGCAGAGAGCACGTTTTTGGAATCGACAGCGGCAAATGAAGAGAACCATTCGGCCTCACTCCGTTAGAGTTATAGCCCAGTCATATACATATATAAATGATTTATAAATATATAAAATTTATAAGGAATAAAATATGGCCTGCTTTGTGTAGAAACCAATTTGGTGACATTCCGTATGGAATGTCTTAAAGTATCTGCTGTGAGTGAGCTTCTACGTGCATCAATGTGGAAATAAAATTTGTCTAAAAATCTGATCTTATGAACTACAAGCTTATTTTGTGTATTTTTCCCATTACCTTAAAGTGAACTTATCAATCAGTGCCATACTTGAATCTTTGGTTATATATTATAATAATATCACAATTACTATAAATAATCATATTAAAATCTAAAAATATAATTATAATGAATAGAATGAGGCGCCTGAAAGACACCGGACAAAAAAATATAACTCAGTACTCGCTGCAGTGACTGAAAGAGAGCAGCGCATTTCCTCAAAATCGCCGAAAACGTAAAGTCACGGACAGACAGACAGACAGACGGACGGACATGGCGAGCACAATAGCGCCTTTTTTCCCAAAAATGAGAAAATGCGCTAAAAAAAGAGCTGTAAAGACGCGTCCATGTTAGCCACAAGGCGGGAAGTTGTAGCAGGTGCAGCACATTTGTTGCAACAGAGCAGACACGACAGAGAAACTGATAACATTTGTTAATATCAAAATTGTTTGAAATATGATAATAATTTGGAGGAAACAGGATAAAAAAATTTTTTACCGAAATTATGATTCATGAGATCACGGATTTTCAAACATATTATAGTTCATTGGATGAAAATTCCAAGAAATGTTATTGCTTGTGTCAAATGTTTTTAATAATTAGTTTAAATGTAAAATTTGGTTACAAATTTCGAATAAGTTTCTAAATTGTGAGAACACAAAAGATTCATTCAATGAAGGCCTCCCTTTATAAGTTCATATATAAGTTAACATATATATACACACAAGTTATATTCAAAGATTATAATGTAATGATAATGAATAAATAAGACGCCTGCCCTAGAATGCTCGCCCACAACGAAGGACAGGGGTTTAACAGCGCACGCTTGCGCTTGATTTTGATGGAGGTTTCATTTTATTTTAATTATTCTCTTTCCGTCTTCGAAAATGATTGAAAAACGTTCATCGAAGTAATAGCATAGAGGAATCAATTCCTACAATTTATCTAAATTATTATTCCCACGGACCTTAGCAAAATGTCTCTTGTAGCAAGGATGTTTATAATCACCACTCCTGCACCAGGACGGACAAAGTTTTATTCAAATTAGGGGGTTTTCGTTACTTTTTATCTGATCTGAAAACTTACAAAAACTCTTAAAACTCATTGTCATTAAAAAAGATTTCAACGGATACGCTTAACACGTTGCCTGGGAAGTGGTACATATGCGTACCACGGAATATATTTCTCCATGACTTAGTGGTACATAATTTATAAGGGCCAGATGGCCTAAAAACGGCCAAGTCGGCGAACTAAAAAGGCCTAAAACCCAATATATTACTAGTATATTCGTAGGTTCCAGTGTAAAAATTTCCATGTTTCTAAAAATTTAATTAGGAAGTACCCTTTGCATAAATGTTAGCCGGCCTTCGCAATTGAGAAAAAAACTAAATCGCGGAATTTGTCCGAAAAAGCACGTCTGGCAGCTCTGTTTCATAATTGTTAAAAAAATGAAATATAGTACAAGATGAAGCAATCGGAGTGAATCTTTTAGATGAGTGAGTTCACTGCGACGAATCGGGCCAACATGTTTACGATCTTGTTGCTCATCTATGATGGTGTGTCACCGCTAGTCTCTCTCATGGATCATTAGTAAAGCAGTAGCAAATTTCTTTTTAATTTAGTGATTAATATTACTATTAGTGTAAAATCACTGATAATAAAAAAATAAAAACTATACTAAAGGAATTTATTTAATTTCACATCTATGATCATGGTTATCATTTTGTCAACATATTCGTCTCATTATAATTAACTCTTTTTAATTTATTTGCTCGATTTATTTAATAAGTTTTGTAGTTCAATTTTATGGAAAACACAAGATCTTGCCGCTTCTGTAATCATTATTTGTAACTATTTTCGATATAAAATCACAGATTTGGCACCTCAAAGAAAGCTAGAGATCTACAAAAGTATCAATAAATTGGGAAAAAGTATCAATAGGTCGATTTTAAATGCTAAAATTTTGAAGTTTGATTTTATTTGTAATAAGTAATATATCGTTCCTAACTGCAATGATGAACTTATTTTGGTCGCACGAGTAGCATGTTTACTGCCAGGGCCCCCCAGTCGCGTCCTCCTATACTCAGAGAATTTATGGGTAATATTATCCAAAT